TATGAGGCTCTTTGGCCCCTTGAGTGTGGCTCTTCCTAAGCCTTAGGAGTACCCTAATTAAGTTAATAACAATGTACCTACCTATATAGTTTAAGTTTAAAAAATTTGGCTCTCAAAAGAAATTTCAATCGTTGTACTGTTGATATTTGGCTCTGTTGTCTAATGAGTTTGCCGACCACTGGCTAGGCTGTTTAACCAAGACCCAACTAAGCTGTCATCCAGGCAACTGTCGTATTTCATTCCAAGAATTCCTGCTTGCTACCCCTAAATAATTTGTTAATTCATCATTCTATTATTAAAATGATCCCTTCTCTGACAATGCACCTCCACTGAGATCTACCAAAAGCTTTGTTCAGACTTAGATCCAGGTCCATAAATCCTCCTCCTTTTCTCTTTGGCTTGATGTCTCAAAGACCCTTTCACATATCCTTTTACTAATCATATGCCTAAACCCAAGGTTCCTTCCATTTCCTACTAAGAATTTAAGAGTTCTTTCTTCATTCAAGCAATCCTCTAAAACAAAATCTTCTCCACAAAGGTTAATTGGGGGGGAAAATGTTTTTTTAAATTTTACACTCAAAATGCAAACCTTTTATGAACCTTCACTATTCAATACATATTTCTTAGTATTTGCTTAATGTTGTCTTTGTAATTAATATATTTCTTTCCCTAACACCTAATTTTCCATTGTGTTGCCTTTGTGACTATAAAAATATAGACTATCTAAGATTATTAGCTTGCAGAGGCCTGGCACCAAACACTAACTCACATAAAATAACACAATACAATGAATGCCATGCTAGATTAAGCAAAAGTGTTTAATAAATGCTTGTGCTTCTGAGCTTCTCAATTCCAAATTCTACCTTTTAGTTTTGCAGTTTTAAAGGTCTGATACTTTACACTTTGAACTAGTCTACAAAAGCCATTGTAAGGAGACGGTAAAATCTAGTGGTTATGAATGGGCTCTGAAGTCAGAAAGCTTAGGGTCAAATTCCAATTCTTGTTACCTTGAACAAATTACTTAAGCTAAGCTCTGATTTTCTTGTGTGTAAAATAAAGACAATCTAACAGTATCTGACCAGGTTATTAAGATTAAAATATATAATGCACATAAATACTTATGTATGCCTGGAATAAGGTAGCACTTAATGTCACTAAATTTTTAAAAAGATATTTCCTTTATGAAACTTAGCTGCAGAATGCATACAATATTCATGCAAAAATATTTCATTTCTATACTTTCATATAAGCACAAAGGAAACAGGTAAAAATAATCTCTAAAATAACAATGGTTACTATTCCCGGAGATCAGGTAACCATATCTCCTAGTTTTCCCAGGGTAATTCTGAATTACACCTGTTGTCCCAAAATAAGTAAGTCTCCTACAAGCCTCTTCACTCAAATAACCTGGAGTTCAAATGATAAATGTATGGTCAATTGTGCTGGTTATTAAGCTTTTTTTTTTCTTTTTTTTTTTTTTTGTTGCTCCAAACCACTATTTTATACTCAACTGTTTAATACTGGAATTGAAACTATGTAAACTACATTTCTTCTTTGCCAGCTGCATTTTTGTAAGGCTCCACTAATAGGACTAGAAGAGTGAAACAGAAAGGCAGGAGGCAGAAAGAATCTTTGCTTTTGTTCCTGGTTCCAGTCTCCAGCTTTTTCTCAGCATTTCCCAAACCAGCCTCCTCATCCCTCAATACTAGCACCACCTACCAGTGTCCCAGACTACTTGCTCTACAAGAATCTTCCAGTTTCTCTGTTCCCTCAGCTCTAAGGGTGGTAGTCATTTCCTGCAGTTAATTATCTCAGTATTCCCTTCCTGATTATTTGGTTCCCCGGTACCAATTTAAACTATTTCTTATATTACACTCTGTTAAAATATATAGTTATGTTATTCTTTTCTTTTGATTTGAAGCCTAACTGGCACTAATACTATTCAGAAAGGAATGGGAATGGAATTGAGGGCTATAAAAAATTGCCTTTACTTTATACAATGTCTTTATGTATTATTTGTGCAATTTAAATTTAATTACATATTTTTAAGGGTTTTTGAAATTATTGTGTTTTCTTCACATTGGTATTCAGAACATTGTAAATAATCTTTTTAAAAGACATATCACTAGCTCGGCTGGCTTAGCTCAGTGGTTGAGCGTCAGCCTATGAACCAGGAGGTCACAGGTTCAAGCCCCGGTCAGGGCACATGCCCAGGTTGCAGCCGGATCCTTAGTAGGGGGTGTGTAGGAGGCAGCTGGTCAATGATTCTCTCTCATCATTGATAGTTCTATCTCTTTCTCCCTCTCCCTCTCTGAAATCAACAAAAATATATTTATTTAAAAATAAAAAAGACACATCACTGGTAAACCAGAATTTACTGTCAGAGTCTATCACCAGATAGATGGCTAATGGAGTAGAGGCCATTTTAGTCACTCAATTGGAGTCTTCTCATCATGGCGTTTGCTAATTGAAGGCCATTAACACTAGCACATCCACAAAATATGAAGTCTCCCATTAGAAGTGCTGCATGAACATCCTGCAATACAGGATTAAATAAGCCTAGAACAGAATTTATGATATATTAAGTATGAAACAAATATGTATTTTCCCTCCATCACAACTACCTACCTCCAGATGCTAATCTAAGAGCTGCTGATAGTACATAGCTTCTTTAGAAAGTAGACTTCGTTGGCTTAAAACAAAGGTTAAGAGAAAAATCTTAGCTAACAAATCCCAAACTATCAAAGCTTACCAGGACATCAAACAGCAATGTACTAGGCAAGTTTAATAAGAAATAGGTATTTTCTTACATCATGAAATGCCACTGCATGACAAATACACCTACAACACATTCTGTGATCAAGACATAGAAGGTATTTCATCAGTAGACTGATTAAAAAAAATTTTAATTTCTAAGTCTATTTGTTGCCTTGGATATTGTACTAATATAAACATTGATTTCATATTCAAAATTAACTTTTAGTATGATGAACAATTAACTTGCAATTAACAATTAACTTCTAGATAACTATTGAAATGTCACCACTGTTATATTACTTCCTACAATATTTTTTTGTTAAATTTCTCATTGATAACTCTTTGTGGAATACTCTACAGTGGTAGGCAAACTGCGGCTCGGCAAACCGTGGCTCGCGAGCCACATGCGGCTTTTTGGCCCTTCAGTGTGGCTCTGCCACAAAATACCAACTTCTGCACATGGGCCATGAAGTTTCAATC